GGACTTCTACCTAAGTCAACTCTTTGTCGTGTTCTCTCTTTCTCTTTGGGGGCTCACATGTGGAATTAGTCAGACGGGAATATTGCAGCCTTGGGCACCGCTACAACAATTTGGCGACGCAGTATCCCCGTTATACCAAGACATATTAAAACCGATGGTCGACTCTCACAGAGGAGGGGAGGGCGGGTAAGACGTCCCTGTTGCAGGGGTTCCCCCACCAATATCGGCTAGCGCCCATCTACCAGTGTTAGTAATTCTGATCAGGACCAGCAAGACAACGAACCCGTGGTCAAATAGTTAATCAATTCCATTCCCGACTGCTAACTTAAAACGAGTGTAATAAGCGGTCTTCTTAGCTTGGTCGCGACACCGAGCCCCGGTGGGCGAGGGGAAAGGGGGTGCGGTAGCGTCCGCGCGAGTCCAACATCAACATTAACAAATTCGCAGCCTGTTTTGGAGCACACGATGTATGTCGTCAGAATCGGCGGTCGCATTGTCAATTGACATGTTTAATTTACCGAAACTGGATATACTTCGGTTTTGCAGTTCCGTCAAGCATTCGAATTATTTTTCAGATTCAAATTTTCACGAGCTCCTGCTGCCATTGTGGCCTATGGGATCTTCAGAAGACAAACAAAATGGGGGTGATTATGCGTGCTCCTTGGCTGTGATAGACCGGACAGATTTGGCGCCGTAGACACCTCCGTAACCATTTTAAACCAAATTTAACATAATGCGTACTTGCATGGCCCAGAAACCATGGTGGTCACGCCTGTCGTCTGTGAAAATGTGCCAGCGATGAGCACGTAGTTTGTGTGCACGCATTAAGTTGAACTACTTTTCTGCCCTGAGCGCTAGTTGGGTCAATTCCGCACAACAGCAGACGATGCAATCAAAAAGGCATCAAAGATGGCCGTCTTCCCATCGTCGGCTAGCAAGTACAAATCCACGCCCCGGGCGGTTTGACGTCGGAGGGAGCCGCCTGGTCAGACCGCCGATCAAATAGAAGCTTAGGTTAAATAAGCGCACCAATGAAGATGAAATGTTAAAAAGAAGACATGGTCGATTCTCGCAGAGGAAGGGAGAGTGGATAAGAGGCCTGTTGCTGGAGCTGTCCCGCAACAATATTGATGAGCACCTATCCATCAGTGTAGATAGTCCCGATCGAAAGTGACAAGACAACGAGACCGCGGCCCAATATTTAGAGCGTTTTACTTCTAAGAAACAGGTCGCGAATTCGAGCTTCAGGTGGTGCGACGCCTGGAGTTGGGTATGGCTGGCTGATTACGGCTACTAAAGCAGAAATGGTCATTGCGGTCTCCATTCTCTTTGTCGGTAATGTTCATCTAAACTGCCAATACAAGTGAACATGCGAGTCCCAGGAAGTAATTGAGAAGAAGAAAAAAAGGCTTCGATCGCTGGACCGTTGATCAATTCCAGTTCTGACTGCCTTCTTAAAGCGACGTTAATGAACGGGTTTTCAGGAAGAAACCAGCAGTTTTTGATTAACAGTGAGCACCATAATGTCACTAAGGAAGACTGCTCCTATCACAGACCTTTCTGGTTTGATTCTGATTCCCAAAAGCCTGGATTCTAGCTTGAAAATGGCCTGATCTGCCGTTAACCAAGGTCGCACACGTGAAATAAAAAAATAATTGACACAGATTGACAAAACAGTGTTAACTACATTCGGAAAAAAGGCCTCATATCTCTGTTAGAAATGTGTTAGGGATTAGTAAATCGAAAGGAGCCAGCACAATTTTCCGCATCTACCCACTTGTGTGCAACCCAAATTCGCGCGGTGGATGAACAGACCTCTAGGCCAGGGTCTATCCTCTCAAGGTCACGTGGCGTGGGCGTCATCGCTCTCTCTATCGATGGAGTTCTGTCGCTTCAGAACAAATGTGACTAGAAGAAATTGTGTGCAAGTGTGAGTCCAAGAAATGCAGCAAACACGCATATCAGTGCGACACTGTGGGAACAAGGATTGCGTGACGCCATAGCAAACTGCCGTGCGGTCTTAATTAACCAGACTAGCTAGGTCTGCAACGCACCCAACCGGTCTGTTTAATGGAGGGTGCATTGTGAGCCTCCGAGCGTAAAGGTGTAAATCCGTTGTTCAGTTGGTGTTTCAGACCGGTAGTTGTTTGACGGGTGCTTTTGAGAGAGTTGAATAATTTAACGATCAAATTTGAAACACTTGGCGAGCCAGACAGAATACAAGCCCGTGAGAGATAGAGCATGGCTCTAGTAAGGCAGAGAAGAAGAAGACTATTCGATCGCCGGAAACATTTCCTTGTTTTATTTTAGTTGACCCAATCGTGAAAAAAGTCGCGGCCTCGGTGGGAGTCGAACCCACCTGCCATCATCTGCCAAACCCCCCTAACAATTAAGTGAGTCTAGTAGTCATTCTGGTGGATTCTAGATGATTACTTGGGAAATCCTGCGTGGGCAGTCAGCTTGCTGTTTCGTAATGGTGGATTCCATACAAGCAATAAGTTAAGCGGGTAAAACCGATCCAAGTGTGATTAAATTCACAGCACACGGTGAGCCTCGTAGCTCAATGGTAGAGTGTTGGCTGCGCAAAAGCATTCCCTGCTATGTGAGTTTGACTGCCACCGAGGCCGTGAGTTTTTTTAACAATTGAGCCAACTAAATTAAGCAAATCTGCCAGACCTTTCTAACAATTTCCTTGTTTATCTGAGCTTTCGCTTCAGACTCCAGACTCATTGCAGCAACCCAGGAGAAACACCACACGATGTCCGACCTTTCAGCGACTATGTAAAGGCTATCCAAAGGCTTTCGTAAGCTGATGGCCTATGTGTTTGCCTCCGTAGAACTCAAACAGACACAACACCTATGATATCGCATAGGCTGTCATACATTGAGGACGTGTCAGAGACGACCGAGCGCATTGCTGCGGAACTAAGTGTCGAAATTGCACACCGACTCAAAACTACCAGGCACAACAGGGTCATAAAAATCAAGGACTGAGCAAATCCCAATTAACATCCGGTGTAGTGTACGCATATCATGCCTAAACTGTCCCTTTATCTACACAGGTTAGGTTGGACGAATGCTGGGGACGCGTATACACAAATACAAACTGGATGTGCAGCGGAGGGACAGATTAACACAAGCGGCTGCTCCTACCTACGGAATGCGTCAGGAGTTTAACTTCGCGGCCATCAAGATAATCGTCCACGCTAGAATCCAGACAAGCAGCGAATTGATTGAAGCTCGGGCCTCGGGTGGGAAGTCAGCAAATCGACGAATCAATCTGGTACCGGCATACAGAGACCTGCGCAGTCACCTGAAGGAGAGCGCTGTGGTTTCCGCGCCTATCAATAAATAAATCTCTGTTGATTAACCCAAGCCAACATCAGTAAGTTTGATCGTATATTCCTGCCACTTACCCATACAAAAAAGCGAAGCGAGGTCAGAGAGCAACAACACAACGTTAGTTATTGCCAGCTGGCGGAAAATTAAACTCGCCAACATGTCTAATATCAAGAGTTATCAAACAGCAAGAAAAATTACGAGAGACACCAGAAGGTAGAGACTTAGTTGATGGTTCTTCCCCTAGGACAAATGAGTCATCCATTTAATCGCGCAAAACCGAACCGGCCCTCTAGATCAAAATCAGTATGTAGTTAGATGCTTCGCGCTGACCCCATAGTTAAACCATTGCGAATGACAACGTCAAGTCCAGCAGCGGAGAATGGCGCATTGAATTAATTTGTGATGAGACAGGCTTAGGCAGCAGCTTAGGTAAGAAGAAAAAGTCAAGCTGACAGGATGCATACGTGGGCTCAGTGGGAGGACATTGTAAACTAGCAGACGTGATCGCTGAGACAACAGTTCTATTCTCCTGACGTTTTGAACCCCTAGCACGGATCCATCATCAGAGAATATAAGAAAAGCTATTTAGTTTACGCATGCTACACGCAACCTGGGTGCTACTCTCTGACCGGTTCGGGCCGTTTCTCGGGCATGGGAATAGAGGAGCTCAATGGACCAGCGCAATTCCTCACTATAAACAATTTGGCAGGCTTGAAGCTGGCACGATGTGCTAAAAGCCGTGACTTGGAAGGTTGCAAACTGAAGGGATAACTCGGACCACGCAGTCAGCCCAGTGTGTGATGTGAGTAGCTGACCGGGATACTGACAGTCAGGCTACGATAGCTGCTTCTCAATGTGGTCTGTACGAAATTCCCATTCAGTTGGGATCCGAGAGAGACGTAGCGGCACGCTTTGGGACGGCTCCGGTCGGCCCAGCGATCTGAACTCTCTCTCCCGCTTCCGGTCTTTCCGAATTGGTCATGGCACCGGGTTCAGGTGGCGAGAGAAAGAGCAAGTGCGGTAGTCGCAGCGCAAGTCTACTTTCATTCTAATCTAAAGCACACGCAAATCGCCATCTCAGCGTCACCTTTCAGTGATGCAGACGGTAGATTGCCTTGGATACAACATTCAAACTTTCGGGTGCTACTCAACATGTACCAGCTAAAAATGGCGCGCTTTGATTTCACTCTGGTGAAAATTCCTGCGAGGTCAGGTAAGGAAGGAGCTAGTGCAACCTGGTTAACAGTCCTCAGTAAGACCAAGAAGACATCGAGCTACAAGCCTTATCAGGCCGGAAAACGCCTGCTTTATTATAATAAAGAATATGTGGACTTTCCGCGACGATGGGTTCTACAGTATTGATCACCTCCTCTTGCCCTCTGTCTAGCATTAACCTTGTGGTCGAACCTGTCAGACAACCATTGATGGTATTAGGTGCAATAGCATATATCTAAGCTTGTCACAATATGCCATAGGCGATGATAAACGCTTGCCAGTTCACTCTACCCATTCGTCGGAAGTTTTCTTTGACTGGGCGGATCAGTTTTATGGGAAAAGTGAAATTGAGGTCACCGAGAAGCCGAACCCCCAGGTACAAATTTAAAATTGCAGTTTACCTACTAAATGCACATACCTTTAGCCAGCCCATGTAGAAGAGGAAACGAAGCATGCCAAACACGGGGACATACATATCGATGGAATGGTTGGCATAGTGTTGGTCCGTATCGAGGAATTGCCAAGCGAAAAGCGACGAGATGAAGTAACTGTGGACGGTTACGGTGGCAACCTAGGACGAAGGAGGGTTGAAGAGAAAAGGTGGGAAAGTGAAGTTAACATAACATTGAAGCTGGGATTTCCATGCCTCGGTCTAAATAGTCTCTCGACAGTTTTTCCGAAAACATGCTTTCGGCGTAGTCTGGAAGAGGTTTGTGCTAGCATTAAATTTATGTTTTAAGTAGTAGTGTGGACTGCATGGATGACAAATTGTCCCAACGTGCCAAAGTTCGAGACGTTAATTAAGCATACAGCTGGTCCTAGGGATCGCTTTACCATCCCAATTTCAGATCTAGCATATTCGCCATCATACGCAATAAGTAAAGAGTTAGCTTTGACGATAGCAACGTTAGGTGTTGCATTTTCTGACTCAATTCAGACTATGATTTGCATTCACTGCAAGATTAATTTGTTCTCAAAACATTGGAAAAACAGTTGGGGAAATGCTGAAACCGTAAACTGACAAGCCTGTGATTCACTGGTTGGAACTTTGGGCTTCTGGAAAACAGGTCGCGCGTTCGAACCTCGAGTGGTGCACCACTTGGGGTAGGGTATGACTGGCTGATTACGGTTAAATAGCCAAAATGGCCACTAAGTCTCCCTTCTCATTGCTTTACCGTAAGGCAGGACGAGACTAGTGAGTTCCGTAACCGATCGGTGAACACTCACTAACGAATGCTAAATCCCTTTATCCTCTGATATTTTCTGAGAAGTGTGATTGCATTCGGCGGCAGTAAGAATAAATGCCTATTTATTCATTTTTATCGGTAAGAGAAATCGTCTTAAGTAGTCGAATTACTTTGAAATGGCAATTAAGAGTAATGTTCAGTTCGATACGCGCAGGAAAAATCAACGGCGAAATTTTGCACTCTGGGTAAAACACGTCTTTCAAGTTTACACCGTTTCTACTACTTATCGCGGGTAGCGGACGGTAGTATTTTCCCATAGCACTAAATTTAACTTATGCGTCAATTGTTAGTATTATTTATTTAATAAGTAACCATAGCAATGCTTCTAAAAGAGACAGGTGGAAACAAAGTGCAATAGCCCTAACATAAACGCTTATTGAGCATTCACCTACAAATTTATATCAGTTTTTGTCACCAATCTAACTGCTTTTGTGGCTAGAATATTTTTGTTATCAGAGATTGAGGTAAAACAGTCACCTTCAATGCCTACTAGAGCTATCACTTCAGAAGTCACTAAAAGTAACAGGTAAATATAATCGTACATTCAGTTACGCAGAAGTGTACCGAGACACAAATATATTCGTTGTGAGCGCGAAATCAAATATATAATAACGCACCTGTGTGTATGCGAGAGGGGTGTTTATCCAGTCAAACATGATCAGTTTTTCTAGACCTCTCCGAAAGTCCAGTAACTCAGAATTAATCGTTGCTACTGCCTGGTCTCCTATAATGCTGCCCTCATAGCGCATTTGAGTGAGCAGATCTGCGGCCCAAAATAGAGGTATTGTGTAGAAGGCAGGTTTACTGAATGGTGCGCTCTCCTGTAACACTTTCAACTCCTCACGAGTGATTAATGCTGAAATGAAACGTGTTAAAATGCAAGACAGGGCAACCGACCTGAAGCGAGAAGCTGCTGTTCGGTGGGAAACCGACGCCGCAGCCTGGAGGAGATTCCACGAGTGGCGAGACAGAAGGAAAGGTTAATGTATCGCACGAATGTCCTTAGCTGATGTTTCAGCCGCTTGGAATTTCCGTTGGTGTGCGCGGCTAGGAGCATAACTATTTCGTCAGGCCAGGGAATGGTAACGAACTGATCCCACCAACGTCCTACTATTAGATCTACAAAGAAACCCATGACAAATCCGAGGGGAATCTGTTCGCCCATCGTAGAACATAGCAGGCAAAACCCTTCAAATGCCCTGCGAAAGTGAGGGAAAATAGATAGAATGTCGTGATAGGAAGACGTGTTAAACATGTAAAATAATTTGTTGAATTGATTATCAAGAAACTAATTTGGTTGACACAGTCGATTGGAGTATGATAGACATTCATCTTTCCCATTCCAGAACATGGATTTATGTGTGGCGAGTTCCTAGAAATTATGTATCTTCTGTCCCAACATAGATATCTTAAAATCGAAAGAGCTCTGAAGATTGTCAAAAATCCAGTAGTCACTAGTACTCGTAATAAAATTTGGTTGACAGCAATGTCTTTTTACGTCTTGATTTAAGTTAACTGCACGCTTATTAAGACGACCATGGCCAGGCTAGGGAGTCCTGCTAATGCCCCCCTCGGTAGGTCATCGAAGCTGAAATGCACAGTAGGTTCAAACACAGGTAACCATCTTTCTGACATACGAGAGTTTACTAACCTCATCCTCAGTATACTTAAACTGCCTGCTCATTGCACGATTTTCTCTAAGGACTACGGTGTCTGTCGTGAGCAGACACAGTTGCACACCTTTGCAGAAAATTTCTGAGTCTGGAAAAAGCCAATAGATTTATCTTTGGGGTTAAAGACCCAGATTTTAGACCTTTTGCGGCTCTAAATGATTACCCTCTAAAATAACTGCAACACTAATGCAATAGTACCTATTTCAGATAAATAAATAAGTTTCCGAGAAACCACGTTGTCCAGCAAGACGCTGTTCACATAAAACGAAGACAGCAATGACGGAGGACGTACCAAAGGCCCATATTCCTATGACAAACTAAACAAAGGAGTATTTATTTTATAAACTTAAAAAGAACTGAATGCCTCTATCACGGGATTCAACTCGGTATAGTTTTCGAAATTTAAATTTACTCCATGGGGAAAGCGATCGCTTTCTTCACCAGCTATTTCTTTTCAAACCCATTTCATATATCATCGTAACAAGCTCCCATTATATTAGGGCGAAACGTGGGACTAAAATACAATACCTCAACGAAAAGGGTTCACAATTGTGATATAATTCTGGGATAGGTGGAATCTAACACGTAAGGTAGCTTAAAGAAATAAATATGGTCTTGCTCCGCCAAGCCCCTCTAAAAGAGAGGCTGTACTGGCAGGGCCATCGTATCCTCGCATTTGTAGGTCCTTGTTCAGTTTCATTTCAGATGTGCATCTCTCATATCCAATTTTGAATGTTTCTTTAAACAGAATAATAAACACCTCTGTATCAACTTTGGTTTCGAAACAAAGTGGCTTCTCAGCTTGCTCGTCTTGAGTGTGGTTGAAATGAATAACGGCGCAGAACGCGACTATCCTTTTCCGCCCTTTCTCTCAGCGAATCTGTCCCACAATCGTCGGGTTGCTGGACTTCCAAGTTTATCTATCAAAGCAACCTACAACAAAATTCCCTAAAAGTCTATATACGGTTACTTCTGGAGAAATATATCGGGAATTCCGGCAGGCTGCATCATTCTTTTCCTCATTGTTGTTTTTTCTCCTTTTCGTCATTTTGTTTATCGCCCAAAGTTATAGTAGTTTAGTCACTAATTCCTAAATATTACGTAACGAGTTTACACGTTTTTCTCGACTTTTGGGCTTCAACCGTAATAAGCAATACAATTCTGCCGACATCGAGGCGAGAACATGTTTAAAATTCAATAATTGTGACAACACGCAATGAGTGATCGGTCAAGCCCTGTGAAATTAATACACGTTCTACAGCTGTACACAAATTGGATTTTGTCAGTTTAAGCAGTTATAGTAGAATATAGGTATCGTGGTAACTCATGTGATTCATCGGTGACGATATATAGTCACAGTTAGGTGCATGTTCATTTACGATATATATCGTAAACGAACATGCACCTAAATGTCAAACGGCAATAAGCAAACAATAAACAGTCACCGCAAAAAATATTATTTTTAGTCAACTTACCGTCGCATATCATCTGGCATTATAAACCGGTAGGCTATTGAAATCAGAGAATAGATTCCAATGAAAATAACAAATTCGCACCAGATATAGTAATACGCACTTCCCTTCCATCTAATAAAAAGTTGCAATTAATATTTTAAGAGCACCTTAAGAGTAATTTCAAAAAGGCCAGAGGCGAATTTGTTGCAATTTTCGATGAATATAGAATTGTCATCCTCAGATATTATTAAAAACACGCAGTAATAAGGTAAAGGTCATTATAAGCCGTCAATATAACAAAACAAGCATATGTGTCCTTAATTGCCAAAGTGTATTAGCATTCAGGAGCACTTAAGCATTTAAATTCCGTTTTAAAACATTCTATAGGGGCAGCCACCCCATACTCTTTTATTTAAATTTGCTTAAAGCTATCTGCGGTACGTATGCGATTCCTCTTATAAGGGACGATCTAAGCCTTGAGATCTGTAGAGGCTATATCACTACAAATATCAAAACATCTTAGCAAATACGCAATGAAAAACTTTCTTGGGTAGGCTAACTGCTAGTAAGTGATTTACCAGACTATT